GAAAGCTCGACTTAAGTCACCTGGTGTTTGGGGATCTCTGAAGAACCTAAGAATTCTTGATCTCTAAGTCCAAAAACATGAGGCAGAAGAATTGAGAAAAAGAGTGAGATGCTCTGAACATGGCTGCTTCCCAACTCTTCCCGTCCTTCTGTTAGACTAGAACATTCTGGAAAGAAGGGAGAGAAAGAGAGAAGAGTTAGGGGAGGGAATTAAGAGAGTCAGTTATGGTAGAGTGGAAGGGATGGATCAGACCCCTTTTTAGTTTGGGGATCCCAGGACGGAGCATACTGGCATTTTCTGGTCCCTTTTGGGGCTGCGTTGGTCAACAACCACACAGAGATGACAGCAAGTGGGGATGTTTGGGGCCAGCCAAATATGCACAGATGGCCCCAAGTTTCCCATGGGCCTTAGAAAGGCACAGAGATCAGCCATGCTTTTCCATGCCCATGAGAAGGCTGCAGAAGGACCGAGGGGAGCCAGTGTGGACCAGGTCATGGTAAAGCTGCAGATACCGTGGGGAGGCAGTAGGGACAGCATAGAAAGGCGTTGGTGACACCTCAGAGCCATGAGGGGACAGAATACACCTGGGAAAGGAAAAAGACAGGCCAAGGGCTGGAAGTGGATGGCCCCTCCCCCACTGCCACTGGGGTGTCCACCTCATGGAGTGTTAGCACTGGCCTGGGACGAGGAGAGGCAGTGGGGACAGCCCTGGGACAGGGGGAGCCCTGCACCTGACCAGTTTTCTCTCTGGAACAAACTGGGAAATTGTTCATTAGACCTAGTTTCCTTGAAAACATTGAGAAAGAATCAGGCTTGACTTGGTTCAGCCATAGCAGAATGAAGGTGTTTGTCTTGCTCACTTGAGTCCGGGCTGGGCCGTGGCATGGGTGGCATTGCCCGTGGAGCTGTCCCTCTCCGGTAACTGGGAGGGAGAAGACGAGGCGGGCAGGAACCCTCTCCATTGACTGTCACAGAGGCCGGGCCTTGGGAACGATGGCAAGGGGGCTGTTGGCAGTTCCCGCTGGGAGGCTGTCAACAGTGGAGTCACCTCGTAGATCGGCTTCTCTAACCATCTAGATCTCGAGAAGGATCACACAGTGACAGCAGAAAGCCTTGTGATGACTCAGCTGCTCCAGAGAGAGAAACGATTAGAAGGATACACTGCGTGGTTTTGCGAGAGGGAGTGAGTGGGAGGTGAGACCTGATGTGAAGAAGACGAAGGTCTTTAGAAAGAAAAGCGACCACAGCTGCCTGTAGGAGGGCCCAGGGGAGGAGGGGGTGGGGTGTGGGGGAGGGGAGGGGTGAAGGGGGCGATTTCCATGCGATCTGGGACCTGCCTGTGGAGGAGGAGGAGGTTGAGCGATGCCCGAGGCTTGAAGCCATGGAGAGGGTGTGGGATGCGGTGGGGGACCAGGCAGGAAGGCCTGAGGGCAGGGCTGCTTCCTGCCTGAGCATCTGTTTCCCCAACTGGACTGAGAGCCATTGAAGGGCAGGAGCCTGCCTCTGCCTCCCCTGCAGCCACAGCTGTCGCAGTGTTCAGGTGGCTCCACAGGGTTCTGTGGAGTCTTCTCTAGGTGGCTGGAGGGAAGGGTCAGGAGGAAGGTGTCAATGAAGGGGTGGAAATGGTGGAGGAGTGACAGTGACCAGGACCAGAGGCCCTGCCTGGCAGCCACAGCACCACAAGCTCTGCAGACCCAGAGGTGAGGCCGAGTCCTACCCAGCTGTTCCAAGCCCTGGACACTGTTTTCCCTGCCTATGGGCTGCACTGTCCCATAGCCCCCGTGGACACAGACACCACCTGTGATACTCTAGAAAGCCAGACTGTGACATGCAGCAGGGCATTAGGGGCTGGTTTGGGTCACAGTCCATGGGTGGATAGAGTTAGGGACCCCCCTCCTCCAATTTCTCTCTTTGCATTGGGAGCTGGGAGCCCACCTGGTGGAGCTGAGTGGTGGCCTTCAAGTGCACTGTGTCTACCAGTGTGCTTAGGGCCAGGCGGGCCACCTGAGAGAAAAGGGTCAGAGGACCCTGACCACTCATCATCCCAGCAGTGTTCACACATAAATCTTGACATGCGAGCAGCGTGACTCTGTCCAGATGATGACAGAGAGGAAAATCATCACACAGGGAGAGGAGTCTAGACCCATGAGATGTGTGACTGTGACGGGTAGGTCCTTGGAGGGTATAACAGGCTCAGGTTGATGTGACAACCATGGACCTATGGGCAAACCTTAGGAAACCCCTGACTCATCCCAACACACTGTGGGGATGAGAGGGGCTTCCTCTCTCTCCCCATGGGGACCTATCCTGGCCTGAGGGTCTGAGGGAGTGGGTCTAGGTCTAGGGCTGCAGGCCAGTATAGCTGCTCTGCAGGACTTAGACTCTGGGCCCAAGTAGCTGCAACTGAGCTGGCCCACAGTCATAGGAGGGGGCAGAGGGTTAGGGTTAGGGTTAGGGTTAGGGTGCAGATGCACCTGAGAGCCCACTCCTGCAGCCAGGGCAGCCAGTGAGTTGAGGAACCCTGAACTTGGTCATAGAAAAGGCTGACATTCCCACTACTAAAGCCAGTGGAGGCTTGAAACCATTGTTTGGCCATAAATGTGACCTTATTTGTACTCCCAGTCTGGAAAAACCTGAGACATACCTGTTACATGTACATTTATGAAACAGGCACAATTAATTGGAAAAAAAAACCAATTTGATTAATCTGATTTGCCGAATAAATAGATTCATTCCATGTTGTGTGACCTTGTCTTGAGCTACACTTACTGGCTCCAGAGAAGAGCTGGTCTCTGATGGCCCCTGCCAGGGGACCCCAAAGTCTTGGTGTCTTCAGTAGCCACCTGGACACCTGGTGTGAGGCTACAGGGAGCTGGCCCTCAGGCCTGCCTCGGAGCACTGCTGGGACTGTCCCAAGCGAGCAGGAGCTGGACCCTGTGGGGTCTAGTGGCAGCTCCCTCACGTCCACTCGGATGCTGCATTCTCTTTGGTGGCAACTGGGCCACACAGACCCCATGTATCCTGCCTTGGTCCACCCCACCCTGCTTCTGCCATCTTGTGCCACCACTGCCATGATGCTGGAGCTGCTTCCAAAGGCCCTTTCTCCTCTGCATACACCAGGGGGGCCAGCACAAGAGACCCTCTGACCATTAAAGGGCTGAAAACACAGGGCTAGTCTCCAAAAGTCCTCCACTGGGGCCCCCTCCTTCCTCTGAACACCTCTGGAGTGAATTCGACTCTCCCAGGTAGGATCTGAGTTTTCTTGGCTCCTCATAAGTGAATCCTGCTAACCTGTCAAGAGCTCCTGCAAGGTGTGAACTGCCAAGCTTTGAGGGCCCTTTGTCCTAAGTTCCCCCACAGTCTTGAGCACAGTCCAGTCATGTTCTGGGTGCCAGGAGTTGACTGGAGACATCCTTGCTCCTTGAAAGTCATCTCCTACTAACCCAGGAGGCACCTCACATGCTGGCCATGTCCCCTTGGGGCAATGAATGACTTCCCTCGGCCCCCAAGAAGGATTTGACTTGAAGAATGCCATTCCACAAGCTGCATTCATTTGTCAACTATATTCCTCTTGAGTCGCCTCTCTGGGGACCCTCTGAAAGTGAAACTCATTATATTAATGCTATGTAGCCGCT